CAAATTAACCTAGGGATGGTGAGTGGTACACGAAAGAAGGAAGAAACCATGAGAAACGGCCCAGAACCCGAGAAATGGGACCCCTTCCTTGCCCGTTGATTTGAGCATTGATGCGACTCTCATCGCTGTGCCCTCTTCAACACTACGCTCTCTCAGCTATCTAATCACTCGCCACGTATTGAACTACGGCGAGTGATCAGATCGGTGGGCGGAGATCGCCGGACCCGCCAACTTTGAGGCATGATAGGTCGCCGAGGTCAAATTTTTCCATGCGAATTGCGCGTCAGTTCGCACCCTCAGGAGGTCCGTGGGTCCCTCAACTAGGTCAGTTTCCCTTTCTTCGACCTTCATTCTAATCGTGAATTCCTCCTTTAACTTAACTTGATATTCTTAAGTTTTTGCAATGATTCATGCTTCCTTCTGGCAAAACAAGGCGTCCAAGAATCCTTCTTGCCACATCTGCGATCATGCATGTAGCTCGTCAGGCAAAATACCTCGTATTTGCACGGTCTCAGCATGCCATGGAAGACTGCAGATGATATTCAATCGCACATCTTTCAGTTGTATCTATCGACCGAAGGATCCGTCATGCGCTGATGTGTGTGAGGTGGAAGCCGCTTGTGTTGCTCCAGAGAAAAAGGCTTCGTGTTCTGATGGCACGTTTCCCTCTCATTTGCACAACTATTCTTTCAAATGCATCACTGAGTACACTGAACAACCAGAACGTGCTCCTATTGAATTGCTTTCATGCATGCCACTACTATTTTGATCCTTAGTTTATTTTGCTTGCGAGTGGGTTTTGAACGAACCACATCACAAAGTCGAAAGCCTTCTCACCCTGTCACACACTTCATACTTTGCTTCGGTCGAGGTAAATCACAGTTGGTGAAAATCCAGTTTGCTGGGCCATTCCATTGTTTTTCCCAATACTCAAGATAAGAATGAAAAGGCTCTATACGTAATCGGTCATTTGACTTCTGAGAAGTACCGATGTAGAGTAGAACTCAAGTGCTTTCATTCGACCTGCAATGCTCCAAGGAAACGGTCCTGAACCAGGAGAAAGGACATTTGTTCGGGCTAAGGGTGCAGGAGCTCCAGGGTGGATCACCTGTGCAGAAAAGTGGATGGGATGTGGGCAGGTAGTGTGGAATGTAGGACATCCACCGGTCCTTATCAAAAGTACGCTCGAAATGAGTCGTTCACTTATTATCTTATCCGAAGGAGTGTTCTCTAGGACTAAGGATAAAACAGCAAGGGTGCCCCGTTCCAGGATTTTCACCCCTCGAATCCTTCCACTAAATCGTTCCTCATACTATCGAGAGGAGGAGGGCAAGAGAAGTTTAGGTCCATACCGAGATACAGTCTGCAAATGGACCTGTAAAATTAAGGTTGAGGTTGCGCTCAGCCGTTATTAGCTGCCATGTCCGTCCAGATCCGAGACTTCCATCCTTCTAGAGCAGCTGAATAGGTTTGGTAAGCTGTTAAGAAAACAGGCTACCTTTTGCATTATCGCGCTCCCAGTTATTCTGTAGGCCAGTCGCTTAAACACGCGATTTTTAACAATAGATGACGTGGCGCATTGTAGGGCTGTGTTGGGAATTCACTAACCTTTCTTTTTATTGCACCTGTTAATCTAAATTTGTGTACTTTAAATGGATTACAGGTGATTATGGTTTTTCCTGTTTCAGAACCCAGTGCCCAATATACGCTGTCCTGCAAAGACGAAGAGTCCAGACGTGTGGCACGGCATGCGGAAACGTCATGGTCGGCATCCAGCGCGGTAGGATAAACCCAACTTTTGTTAAATTGAAAACTGCGTTGTTTACGCTTTCTTGATAAATCATATGCTTCAGGAAATCTGCACTGAACAATGCGTCCGAGGATGTCAATGTAAATCGGGATTCTATCGTAACGATGAAAATGTCTGCGTTTCTAACTGCTCTGGTAAGTGTCCACATTTACTCATAATTCAGTGAAATTGAGATCCTATGTTTTATGATTAATTTGCGTATCCGTGCCTGTAACAATGTCCTTGAGCGTTTGGCGTTCCGGGCTCTTAGTCGAGAAGGTAGTCTTATAGCGTGTGAGAAGCTCTCCGAGCAAATTTCAATTGTATCGCATAATCTAGATAAAGGTTGAATGGAGAGCGATCTTGCCGTTGATCAATCCTTTTTTGGGATGCGGCACGCAATCTACTTCCATTTGTACATTCGTAGTGGCGTTTTGAATGCGATGTGGCCTATACAACGACTTGCGGAGGCCAGCCGATGTACAAGTCAGTGTTTTTATCCTCCCGGAATCTGAACCGTTCACCGACCCGAGATAGGGCTTGGTTTGGCGAGCGCTCAGACCAGGATTTGATCCCCTGACGCTCGCGTGGTGAGATGGCACTTGGCCTATACATTTTTTCGTCCACATTTCGAATATTGCATAATATGTTCGTGGGCGGAAGACTTGTGTGGAAGAGGTTCTTCCCGCCGGTGGGGTCGGCGAATCGTTCTTGGGTCGTGCATCACCGAGGCCAAACGCTTGTCATCCTTCCGGGGTCTCAGTTGGTACAAGTTATCTGGAGGTAGAAATAAGACATTGTTACCGATGCCGCACGTGCAATGGATTCAAACGGGCTACGATGTAGAAGGAGTGGATGAGTGCTGCTCATCGAGGTTTGGTCAAGGGCAATGCTTTTATCCTTCAACATTTTTTATCGAAATTCGTGCCCTTTTTGATATGATATGAGGCCTCACTTTGACAGGAGGAGGTGGCTGTGGTGTGAACGAGGAGCGAAAACAGTGTGGGACAGCTTGCGAACCAACTTGCTCACAACCTACCCGTTTGTTTTGACATTTCAGTTGTCTCTTTGATTCCTGGCGTGCTTTGGCATCTTTGTTTTTGGCTTTTATATTAACCCAGCTATTCTATATCTTTTCTATGAGCTTTGTGCACTAAACAATGTATATAAACGTTTGTCCCATCAACGGCTCTATATCCGCGATTCGAAGAATGTCTGTGTTCCAGTGGCCAGTTGCCCCACAGGTGCGTTATCAAGTCATATAAGCACGTGCGGATTATTCTTTGTCGGGGCATTTGAGGTGCTTGAAAACGCGGCTAAACTTCTCAGCCGAGGGCCTTTCACAGGCCTGTATACTTTTCATTTCATTCAACACACTGCTGTGAGGGCGGTCTTGGGCGTGATTCTTCAAGCAACGTCCAGCAGGGTGGGCGTGGTCGGAAACGGCTGCAATCCCCTCGGTCGATTCCCACTTCGGAGCTGTTCAGCCCCTAGTCAAGAACGTAGAAAGTGTGAATAAACAAAAACTCACCTTGGAAAGCCGCTAGGGAGGGGCTAAAGTGGGCGGGGGGCCGGATGGCGAGGAATGCTGGGTTTCAAATACGCCGACCCTGCTGGGACTGCTGCTTTAAAGTGATGTGTGGACGGACTTTCCAGGTCAATATATATGTTCCTTGTGTCGGCGCGCGAATTTTAATACTTCATCCGTGAGCGTTTCATCTAGCGGTTCGCGCCCCTGTAACCGTTGCGCTCTGTATTCCTGAGTGTCGACACTTCAGTATTTTTCTCCATTTGAGGACGATAGCTGAGGCAACCCATTTCAAATTAACTCAGAGATGGTGATTGGTACGCGAAAGAGAGAACCATGAGAAACGGCCCAGAACCCGAGAAATGGGACCCCTTCCTTCCCCGCTGATTTGCGCATTGATGCGACTCTTATCGCTGTGCCCTCCTCAACATCACGCTCTCTCTGCTATCTAATCAATCCCACGTATAGATCTGCGGCGAGTGATCAGCTGGTCGGTGGGCGGAGATCGCCAGACCCGCCAACTTTGAGGCATAATAGGTCGCCGAGGTCAAATTTTTCGATGCGAATTGCGCATCAGTTCGCACCCTCAGGAGGTCCGTGGGTTACTCAACTAGGTGAATTACTTCTTCCTCGACCTCCATTCTAGTGGGTAATCTTTAATGAGATATGCGGAAGCGTCTAGAATTAAGACGTCAATGTGGAATGACCTGCAACACAGCATTTAGAAGGGAAATTGACCTTTTTATGTCATCTTTTCTTTTCATCCGTACTCATCCGTGGAGAATTAAGTCTCGTTTGTGATGAAAATAAATTATCTGCCCACACAGATGTGAGAACAATAGGTCCGATTCGGAATCATGAGTCTGAAAAGTAGATGTCCCATTTGCTTATTGCTACACTCTTCATATACTGCCCCAAAAGAAACTAATGGTCTGTGAAGCTATAAGTCCACTCTAGGCCTCAGCAGTACCAATTTTTGCTACTGACTAGGAGCTGCACATCATAAAAAAAATTAACTTGGGCTTGTTAACCCATTGCTAGAAGAGTATCATTCGCACGTGCTCGAAGTCCTTTGTTGCAAGCCTTTGCATGACAGCATTTCAGATCCAGTCAGACCGTGCTCGGAGTTAAACTGCCCCAGGGGAACTCGCTGTGAATTGGGCCGAGTGATTTGTCCATTTGTGCCGCCGTGCTTTACTCAACAAACTCGGTGCGTGCCTGCTGGGCCAGATTCTTATCGAACATCACCAGCAGGTCCCCGTTGTTTTGCACATTGTCGAACACCGCTTGTTATAGCCTTAGCATGCACTTCACCGTAACCTTTCAGGGCCAACACTTGCCGTTATGTTCTCAGTTTAATTGTGTTCGAGGCACCAGATGCTTGGTTCGTTGCCAGCCAGATGATGACGACTCCACTGAGTTGACAACACCCAGTTTCAAAGGTCCACTGTCAAATACAAACCGATTCTGCGAGATAGTTATTGCACCAGCACCTTCACATTCTTTGTTTCGCGTTTTCAGTTCCGAATCTGATAACCTGCGCCAACATCAGATGCCGTGACGGTTTTGAGTGTCGCCAGGAGACGATCAACTGCGTTCGTGCTCCCTGTCCTCAGCCCAGACCGAGATGTGTTCCGACGGGTTCGTCCTCTATTTCATTTCCGAGTTTCACTTTTTCACACTTACGTTTTTTTTGTTTCCTCCTTTGAGTAATTGATATGTTGGGTTGGGCCCAGCTACAGGGCAGATCAGTGTCCAAAACGAACAATCGGTCCAGTGAAAACGCCTCAGATTTGGAAAAAACATATTGGGTTATTTCTTCTTCTTGGTGAGAGCGCGTTTTCAAGTATCACTAATTACGCATTTCATAGTGGGATGCTGGCCGACGTCTCCAATGCTGAGAGATTAGCCGCTATTAGAGCACTGGCATTTGACTTGTTTTTGTTTGTTAACTGCTGTTTTTGGCCGCAGTTCGCCTTGCGAATGTTTCACAAGAATGCTGGGTTGTGAACAAAACTTTCGCCCCAGGCGGGACTAGAACCCGCACCTCTCGCTTTCCGGGCAAGTGCGCTACCAGTTACGCTACCGGGGCCGCTTGCCCGGAAAAGCGAGAGGTGCGGGTTCTAGTCCCGCCTGGGGCGAAAGTTTTGTTCACAACCCAGCATTCTTGTGAAACTGGTATTTGTGATATCTGGTTCCGTTTCGAGAGAATTCATTATAAAGCTGTGACCGTGCAGCAGAGCTTCTCTGTCAACCAGCTCCGCTCGCACACCCTGACCTGGCTCCGCTCGCGAATCGCATTACAGTAACGCCTGCACCCCCACCATCGGCGTGATCTGAACTAGACGAATAGTCGTCAGCTATCCCTGCACGTACCAACCAATGGCCGCGCGCACGTTCTATTTCAGAAACTCACCATCGCTCACGGTGTGACAACCACGTAGGTGCCCCTGCAGATTCCACTGAATGTCAGCAAGTGCCACTCAACTGTCTCCTACCTCCGTGTCCACAACCACCACCACCTCCACAGTGTGTCAAGATTGGTTCGTCCCTTCGAGTGCTATCAGATTCCGAATTGAAAGAGTCATCAACAAAAATTCTCCTCTCCCCTACAGAAAGGCTTTATTTGTGATCGTTAGAAGCAGTGTACAAAATAAAACATGGGATTCCAGAATGAAAAATTAAGGAACTCAGCCCTTGACGAAAAGTCGCCGGGGGGGGCAAGGAACGAATTTGAAGAGCGCGACCTCGTATACGGCGACGCACAGAGCGAGAGAGTTCCGAGATTCAAAGAAGTCGTCCGCAGAAACCGCGTTCTAACTCCCATAACAGCTGACTTGCATCTCGCCATGGCGAGAGGGACCCTGGAAGCGTTGTGAACGAAGCTTGCGTGCTGTGCGCAGCCACGTGTGAGTTTCTGGAAAGGCAACCCAGTCACTATTAGGCCGATGTCAGACTTTGCGTATCCAGCGCGATTCGCTAGCGAATGCGTTGCACTGGCGGATCGAACTATGTGCCAGCGGATCGAATATGTCCTAGCGGATCCCCGTTCTACCAGCGACTCAACAGTGTTTGAAGTGGCGGTACCCTCTCCCACTCGTTTCTGAGCCATGCTCTACGTACCTCTCGGCGCACCTTTCTCAGCTCTCATTAAACCCTATACTTACTGGTGCATCGCCTCGTGAGCCCGGACAAGCGGCTAGAGCAGCAAACGTTCAAAGGAAGTCCCGCCAGCATTCTCGCCAGGAAGTCCCGCCGTCGTTCGATCCGCTGACACGTAGTTCGTTCCGCTGGTACACAGCTCGATCGCTAGTGCAACGATCGTATCCCACAATTCACTAGCGAATAGCTGAATTCACGAAGTCCGACATCGGTCTTAAACCACGCTCTCCAACGCATACGTAATTGCTTGACAGTTCCCACGGGCGGAAATCAAGTTTCAACTATAGGCTATTCCATAGCCGCTCGCCTTAATTTTTTCGTTCTTTTTTGCTATCTTACAATAGAAGCAAGGGAGCCCAAGGCAATCGCACTATGTGAAGCCGGATCAAGGGTTTTCCAAAAGCGATTTAGCTTCAACGCTTCCAAATAGTAATTATGGCCACTACAACCCTTTGCACTCCACTTCCGCTATTAAGAGACAACAGCAGATGCTCAGTGAAGTTCCCAGAAACTAAATTTTTTTTTCCGCCCCCAGCCACATTTGCTCATAAATATACATGACAGAAGCCATTGTTATCGAAACAGTGATGGTGGAACAAGAATCTCTCGGTGGTACTATAACGAAAATACTGAATACTCTTTGCGTACTGAACGTAACGAGTTATCCCAAGGAGTTTGAGGAGAGCAACTCTCCAGCGCACATTACAGCGCCATACTATTTTCTACAATTTGATATATTTGAAAGGAGTGACAGCTTTCGAAAATTCGTTCGCATCCATTTCCAACACCTAGGCCAAGCTCGCGATGCGCCTTCAAAATACGGAATTACACCCGACAAAAACAGAGTGGGATCATTCGGAAATAAGGGTAGCGTGTGATACCGTAGAGGCAGGATCAGCAAGAAAAACCCATTTGTACGCACCTTTACTTTTTGAGACATGTATGAGGGCCTTAATAGGTTCTACTCATCTCGAACCGTGGTCTGAAACATGTCTTCAGAGATTGATTGAAAGTGCATAATGGTTATGTTCGCTTATTGTTTGTTTTTTTTGTTGGTTTTTTTTTTTCTTTTTTTTTCTTTCTTTCTAATGGGACCTAACTCCGTGTGCCCAGTGTTTCCGCCATAACTGACGGCATGTCTTTATAGACGTATAAATAAGAGGGTTAACACACCGGCCCAAATTAACAACTCCAAGCTCTTCTGCATTCTAGTCACCCTCGCCAGTATAGATCTCGCCGGTGAGTGATTAGGAATAGCCAGTGGACCGTACCCCACCGCCGCCAACCGGATCAAGAGTGAGGCCAGAGCCTTCACCGAGTCAAGATCTTCACGGACTAACTGCGAGTCGATCAGCACCCCATCACCACAGCTCCTGCCGTCCCCTAACTTTGCGATTTTCTCCCTTCTTGACCCCCTCCAGTTCTTATCGGGAATTCCTCTTCAACTTGATTACACTCCTGGCAGGGTGCGTGGGGCGATCCAATCGTATAGTACGTGAGGACCTCGGAATCATCTGGACCGAAGAATCTAAGTTGACGCTTGTCTGGCTCAACCTGATGTTGGCACTTTGTTCTTGACAGTTATCTGACCCTGCCTGCAACTCATGCACATGGATGGCTTAGCCAAAGTCCATACAGAAATTGCAGCACCAACTACCGCGATGCCGCTCGCAGCGTGAGCGGTGTGGCCTCATTGGCTTACAATTGAATTGACCGTCTCCCCTACGGTTATTATTCCACACTACGCTGACATTGAGAGATATTCCTTGCGTGAAGCCTTTCCGTTACTATCCCACTACTGTTGGCTGCCAGTATTAGATCAGTACCTTTCAAGAGACACCTTGTGATTTCAGAAGCCTACGATCCATGTGCTGCCACCAGTTGTCCGGTTGGGTCCGAATGTCGAGTAAGACAAGTTGTGTGCGTCCAAAGCAAGACGCCATGGTGAGTGGCAGCGATCAAATAGTAGCTTTGTCTTCCTCCCCAACTCCATCTTATGAATTCACCAAGTACTCTCTATTCTCATCCATTTTCTCACAGATATGGGTCTCCCAGGTTACCACATCTTCACTAAAATGCTTCCTTTTAGTACCCAGTAGCAGAATGTGTTCCACAATCACAAGACAAGCGATGTGGACAGTTTGAAAGCTACAGAAGCTGCGCAAGCAATTGTGAACCCAGCTGCGCCGACAGAAATCCCGTGAGTTTTTGTGAGCTTCAGTCTTACAAGCTTAACGGATTGTGTTGGCGCGAAAACCCTACAAGATACCCGCATCCAAAACACGTCCGTGTCTGCCGCGACACACTCGCGCCCAGCTTATAAAAGACCAGCCTACGACAGCGAACGCAGAACTAGAACCAGTATACAAGAAACGGGAAGAGCGTCAAGTGCAGACCATACAGAGGCCCACAAAATCTTAATTCTATCCTATCGCTTGCCACTAATTGCAGCTACCACTTACCAGATATCAGCTATTACCATGAACAGCTGCTAACCAAATTTACTTAGACGCCGTCATCAACTTGTCAGCTGTGTGGGGAAGAGTATGTAGGAGAAACAGGGAGGCCACTCTGCGTAAGGATAAAGGAGCACCTAGACGGGCTCAAGAAAGCCAGAACCTCTACTCCTCTAGGTGATCACAAGGTTCAGTATCATGAAAACAACAACATGGAAGTGAAGGTCACGATCCTGGCATACGAACAGGAGATATCTGCCCGAAGAACACCTTGAAGCCTTGTGGATTGCAGCGAAAGGATCCAAAGATCAACAGGAAAGGACGAGTGCGTGGCGATTACTAGAGAGCTCGCACCCTTTACGGACCTCTGTGGCTTTTGATCTACGCGGTCAATGCCCCCGCGGGGCGCCGAGGCGGGGGTTTCGGACTCCACCCCAAAAATCGATGGCTGAGGCGGCTGCGCGGCGATCGGCAGGACCATCATTTTCGCGGTCTCAAGGGGCATTGATCTACGTGATCAATCCGGGGGCACTTTCAAATTGCTGTAATCTGACCCTAAAATTCAAATTTCATCCTGGGGGGTTCCCTTGAGCCATATGACCCGACCCTGAAGGTGCGAAGCACATATAAAAGTCGCTTTACGGTCTTTAAGCAAAGGGTGCCTTCTAACGCTCGGCTTCTAATAAAGGTTAGCGGTTACGACTTCGTTCATGGCTCATTTCCCCTTAGTTTTTCTTCTTGTAATCCAAAATGGTGCTTGGATGAATTTGTTTCAAAAATATGCTTCGATTTGCAGGCTCCGAAGAAGGCGATTGCGCCGAAACGTTAGCCGAATAAAGTTGATACCAATCTCGGTGGCTAAAGCAGAAGCAGAAGACGATTATAATCATGCCGAGATTAATGGAGAGTCGTTCA